CCCCGATCCCCGCCCGACCCCACCGCAATCCCCAGCAGGCAGCACGAGCCACCGACCCCGGCCGCCAGCACCCGCCCGCGTCACATCCCAAGTCCGGCTAACAAGGCAGCGCCCGTGCCCACACCCGACACGGTGCCTCGGCAGCAGGACACATCGGCCAGCCGGTCCGACCGAGGAGCGCGGGCCGCGGCGGGTCACGGCCCAGCCCACCGGCTGACAGCAGTATGAGCAGCGTCAGACGCCACGCCACCAAAGTTCACGTGCACCGGGTCGCCCCGCCCGGTCAGCCAGACAGTCGGGCCAGCCGACCGCCGCCTCCGGCGTCCGTGGGATGCGCTCGGGGCTACAGACAGTCCAGACTGACCGGTCGCACTGTGGCACGGACATGGCCAAGGCTCCACACGCTCCCGGACTGCAGAGTGGCCGGTTTTGCGGCCCAATACCCAACCCGAGAGTTCACACACATGACACAGTCTCTGATCCGAGTCCGACTAACCTTATCGATAGGCGCCTTTCTCACGGGGCACCGGAATGCTGCGTCCAGAGAGGGCTTCAGTCGGAAATCGTCGCGCTGAGATGCATCAGCTGCCCGATGGCGTCAGCGGCGTCGCGAGGGCCGTCGGGCAGGGAGACCGACAGGGCGCATCGGATCACTGGGAAGCCTGGGCCGCCTGCTGACGGGTGACCCGGCGCCCGACTCCCGCCCCGGCGCCGTCCGCCGACTTCGATGCGCCGGCCGCCACATCGCGCAGCTGAACGCCAGCGTGTTTCTCCAGGTCGTCGATTGACTTGATGATCCTGGTCGGTCCGTTCTGGGAGACGCGGATCTTCAGCCGTCCGACATCAGACCAAGCTGCTGAGATCTTGTTGGCTTTTTTCAGCTGTCTGGCTTGGAAAAGCAAATGCTGGTTTGCACGAGTTAAATTGTCCGACAGGAAAATTTTACCAGCAGTTTCGGCTGAGACACTGGACCCTGGTACAGGGCGTGGCTTTCTAAGCTCTCTGCGAGCGTTATATAGCTCCTGTCGCGCTTTGAATGAGGTGAAACGCACGATTATTGTGCGTTCCTTACCGGGCCTCGCAGTCCCGCCGATGCGATGAGACGTGTCTATGTCGTGTGGAGAGATATTTACACCCGCCAGCTTGGCTGTGTCCATAACCAGTCGGTTTGTTTCCTCGTTTGCACCTCCCTCAGGGATCCCGGTTATGTTGAGACACAGACGTCTGGAATACTGTTCTAGATCATTCATTTGCTCTCGTGTCTCCTTTAGCTCTTCCTTTAGTTCCTGGATCTCCGCGTCCTTTTGAGCTAGTGCTTCTCGAACGGCTGCCGTGACAGCTTCCTTCACTTCTGTGCGGAACAGATCCTGGAAAGCTCCTTCTTTGATTGCACTGATCAGTGCACGCTTCACACTGTCCTCGTCCATGGTTCACAACAGCGCAGCCGCCGCCGCCGCCGATCAATCACAGCACAGCCGTCAGCTCTGTCAGCGCCCCGACTCGCCTCCGCCGCACCGCACCGAAACGCACACGGGACCCGGCGGGTAGTGGGCGAGAGCTCGCGCGCACGTCCGACCTCGGCGGCGGCCACAGGTCAACTGCCTACATCTCGATGTTTGAGAGTGTCTAGAATAGCGTTCGTGCAAAACAGACGCTTTTCAATCTTCTCCCATTGACTTAAAGGGACCCTCCCACCTTAACATTAGTTTTGAGTTGAGATAGCCAAGTTTGCGGCCAGGCTCAGAAACCACCATTTATCCTGGTCGCAACCCCCGCAGCTTTATGGTGTTCAAGAAATTTCTTCCCTTTATGTACTTGCAGGGTGGGACCAGCGTGGTCCCTATCTCTTAACCATTACGGGAATCTGATGACGTCATCAGGCTTTCGAACGTCCGTTAAATGTTTGACTAAAACGTTTTGTAGCACGCGGTGGTATATGCTGCTTTTCGCGCAACAAATGCCGCACTTTCAAATAAAGTCGCTAGGAACAGCGGAGATCCCAAAAAGTAAACAAAAGTAAAAGCCTAATATCTTGAAAACCGGTGAATATTTTTCGATGAAATTTGGTAGATATTCGTTTTTGCTCTTTCTGAACCGAGCGACATCACCTTCATGCCAATTCATTAACTTTTTTGAAGGTGGGAGGGTCCCTTTAACCCTCGCCGGCCGAGGGGGGGGGGCGGGTGCCGCCCCCCCCCTAGGGTTTTTTTCGCGATAGCTCCGAACACGCCGGCAATAGAGAGCTGAAACTTGGCATACCTGACCTTTGATTCAAGGCGGATCTTTTGACACCAACAGCATTTTTGGTACAGGTCAGGTCACTGACCTATGACGACGTCATAAGTGAACCTCTGCACGGTCTTTAGATGTCGCAACTTCGCAACGCCCTCACTGCCAGAGGAGATGCCACAGGGAAATGAAACTTGCAGGATCTAGTATCCATTATGATTCTCACATTTTGTATATCTCCGATTTTTCCTAAAGGTCATATGAGGTCAGGTCATTTTCGTGAGCTCACCATTATAAGTCAATGGGGAAAAATGAAAACTGCTATTCTGGCGCCGGGAACGATCTCCAACTATCTCAAGCACACAGAATCGTGATTTGATGCACTCCTTGCAAGGTTAGATGCGTCACTTTTGCAATGTTGACCTTGCGTGACGTCATTTATGACGTCATCAAGCTCATATTAGTTTTTCGTCAATAACTCCCGATCAAATTGGGCTAGCGAGTCGGGAAAGCCACCAATGGACTCAGGAAGACCTGCCGAATCGAATTATATGCGACATGACCTCTTTCGACCAACTTCGTGACCTAGGGGTGCTGACCTGTCCTTGACCTGAGGTCAACACCCTTAGATGACCTGACCCGAACAAAAAGTATATCATTCGATGCGCCTGATCGAGGCGAACACGATGCTGCCAAAATCGCGGCTCTGCGGCCGTTTTTTGCGAAGTTATTCACCAAAAACTGAACCGTCCCTGGGGGTACTTGACCTGACCTCAGAGGTCACCGGTTGACATAGTACCTTAAAGTCGGGTACCAATCTCTGCGTCTCGTAACGGCGCAGACACTCGTTTTTTCGCGACGCGCTAGCTCCACCAGGGGCGAAACGGCGAGGGGGGCCGTACCCGCCCCCACCCCCCTGGGCCGGCGCGTATGTAGAAAACCAATAGGTCCGGCGGGGGTTAAAATAGAGAAACCGCAAAATTGACCTGACCTTAGGTCACCAATATCGAGATTCCGAGATAAACATTTTATAGATAATGTTGCTCTTATCAATCGCTGAAAGTTTCAAGGCGATCGATCAATCGGTGTAGCTATGACGAGCATTCTTATTTTTTCTGACGTGAGGCCATTTGGCGTGACCTGGTGACCTGACCTAAGGCGACATGGGTCTGAAATTTTCACAACATGTGCGGAAAAGATGCATAAACAGTGCAAAAAACGGCGGCGCGGCGCCCCGCCGTTTTTTAGATATCTGCGAAAAACCGCAGGGGGGGGGCATTCAAACACCCCCCCCCCCCCCGGCACGGCGCGGGTAAATGAGCATGAGGTTATTTCTTTTCACTTTTATAATGTGAACTATGCTCAAAAGAACGTTTAACTTGATTAAATTTAACCCTCGCCGGACCTATTAGTCTTCTACATACGCGCCGGCCGAGGGGGAGACGGGGTACGACCCCCCTCGCCGTTTCGCTCCTGGTGGAGCTAGCGCGTCGGCAAAAAAACGAACATGTGCTCCGTTACGACACGCAGAGATTGGTACCCGATTTTAAGGTTCTAGGTCAACCGGTGACCTCTGAGGTCAGGTCAAGTGCCCCCAGGTACGGTTCAGTTTTTGGTGAATAACTTCGCAAAAAAACGACCGCAGAGCCGCGATTTTGGCAGCATCGTGTTCGCCTCGATCAGGCGCGTCGAATGATAAACTTTTTGTTCGGGTCAGGTCAACTTAGAGTGTTGACCTCAGGTCAAGGTCAGGTCAGCACCCCAAGGTCACGAAGTTGGTCGAAAGAGGTCATGTCGCATATCATTCGATTCAGCAGGTCTTCCTGAGTCCATTGGTGGCTTTCCCGACTCCTTAGCTCAATTTGATCGGGAGTTATTGACGAAAAACTAATATGACCTTGATGAGAGTGGCGCGAGAACTTCTTCCAGACTGGGGGGGGGGGGGCTGAACCATAATAGAGATCAACCTAGGGTACCCCCAAATCTAGTTTTCTCACCGGTTTTAGGCCACTTATTTTTCAGACTTTGGTCTTTTCAACAACAAAAAAAAAAACGAAAAAATGCAAAAAAGTGAGGCATTCCGTCTCAGCTGAGTGAAGAAACTACCGTTTTGGCAACCTGGAGTAAAGGTTTTAATCTGTCAATTGAGTTGCCGAGCCAATGAAAGACAAGAGGTGGATTTTTCACCTACATGCTTTCTTCCTATGTGACCCACAACCCCTAATTTGGGAAGGACAAGCTGCCCAACGGTTCCTGGCCTCATGAAAAGTTGTGGGGACCGCCCCCACGGCCGCAGAGTTGTGGGGGCAAGCTTCCCCCCACTGCCCCCTCCCCCGGTTCCCGCGCCTATGTATGAATCTATGAAATTATGTTGGTAGATTTCCGATTTCGATTCCTCCAGCGGGGGGGGGGGCTCAAATACATTACGAGCCCCCCCCCCAGCTTTTCGGCTGGGGGCTCGGCCCCCGCTAGCCCCCCCGGTTCCCGCGCCACTGCTTGATGACGTCATAAATGACGTCACTCAAGGTCAACATTGCAAAAGTGACGCATCTAACCTGGCAAGGAGTGCATCAAATCACGATTCTGTGCGCTTGAGATAGCTGGAGATCGTTCCCGGCGCCAGAATAGCAGTTTTTATTTTTCCCCTTGACTTATAGATCCGTGTAAGACGCCCAGGGTCGGTAAGAGGCCCCATCGCTTTTTTTACCAAACCAATAATGTTATTTATTTTTTAATGTTCTTGTAAAGCAGAAGCCCTCTTGAAACAACAACTCACGAAACCTGAGGTATCAGGTGCGTCGCAGCGACTTCTGGTAAGCCTGTTTCTGTTTTTGCCCCTTTAATTGCTAGATATATGCATCTTTATCACCCTTATATATCTGAAAAAAACAATGGCTATCAAATGCAATCTTTTCTCATCGAAATTGTCACATGTTAGCTTCAGAATAGACCATGTTCTGGTGCGCTGCAAATGTCTCATAAACCATAAATATTGTGGACGTTAAAACACTGTATTTTTTTAAGAGGCCCTCCCTTCGAGGATGATAAAACGCCCCCCCGATAAAAAAACGCCCCCGATGCTAAAACGCCTGCACCTGCGGCAGGCGTGGCATTCTTTTTTCAAGGAGTTTGTTTTTGTTTCTTTTTTCTGTTTCTTTTCTTAGAGGTTATAGGTACAATTTTCGTTGGTCATCAGCGTTTGGTTGTGCTAGTTTTCGCATTGTTCGAGCGCTTTGGAAGTGTTATTGGTTTCGATAACACCGTATTTGCTTAGCTTTTCGAAATAAAAGGCCTTGCAGCTGTGTTCGCAAAGCGTCTTTTACAAGTCGACTTGACTTTTAAAACGCCCGAGGGGGGGGCGTCTTACCATACCCATAGTGTAAGAGGCCCTTTTGCAACTTTTTCCAAAATGTTAAAGTTTACGGTTTGTGTACCCCCTAGATTCATTTTGAATGCAAATATGTATGGGAAAATGATGCATGCTCACAGCGCATGCACACGTTAGCGCTTAAATATTATCAGTTGTCTAAAAATAGTAACTGAGCTTAAGGGGGGGCCTCCTGCACCACTCTCCCCTAGGTAATGGTGAGGTCACGAAAATGACCTGATCTCATATAACTTTTAGGAAAAATCCGAGATATACAAGTTGTGCGACTCATATTGGATACTAGATCCTGCAAGTTTCATTTCCCCGTGACATCTCCTCTGGCAGTGAGGGCATTGCGAAGTTGCGACATCTGAAGACCGTGCAGAGGTTCACTTATGACGTCATAGGTTAGTAACCTTACCTGACCCAAAAATGCGGTTAGCGTCAAAAGATCCGGCTTGAATCGAAGGTCAGGTATGCCAAGTTTCAGCTCTCTATCGCCAGCGTGTTCGGAGCTATCGCGAAAAAAAGTATGCCCCCCCCTCGGCCGACGAGGGTTGATTTGATAAAACTCATTTCGTCCATCAGCACGGAAGTGCCAAAACCACAGCAGCACACCTAAATTGCCAAATAGCCAAAAACTCAGCAGTTACAGGAAAAATTCGTTTTGTCCATTCCATGTCGTAGACTATAAGGCCTGTACACATTCAGCTGCTGTGCTGTTGTCAGCCGAAAATCGCTCACACTATTGGCTGAAAAATTGATGACGTTATGTTGCACACGCAACATGACGTCACCTCTCTGCTGCCGGCAGCATGGGCTGACGGGCTGTGCTGCTATCGAGAAAGCAAGTGCAGAGATGCCGAGCCGTCAGCAAAAGCCATAAATGACGCATTTGGACACTGGTAGTGGCGCATGAAAGCAAATCACGTGCCAGATTTTTATTGAGCACTGCAGATAAATGAAATTTGGACACCATGTTGGCGCTATTCACATATATTTGGTTTCATAATTAATTGTCGATACAAGAAAAATACTTATTACTTTCGCACATTGTCAGTAAATATTTTGATAATATATCTAACTGCTTAAGTATTGTATTAATAAAGAGCATGAAGATGAGACGAAATATTTGTTTACAACGCCATATTTATGCAAGTTTTGTTAAACACAACAGCATAATGGGCACTTATCTTCTTCTTATTAAGACTTTCGAGGCGGCGAATGCACTGTCGAGGTTCGGGTTCGTGAGAATGTAAAATATTACCAAAAGATGTCATAAATACAAAATATCATAGCTATATTGTTGTTCGACGTTTCGATCTATCAGAGATCATTTTCAAGAAAATTACAGTCACACAGTTTTAGAAGTCATACTTTGAGATAAATGGGTTCAATTACATTTTTGGAACAGATATTACGGATATGATACTAAAACTATTCAGTCGATGAGTCACAGCATTCAAAACAAAATAACACACTTTTGTTTTCGTACATGAGCTATAACCCTAAACACATTCGTTCATCCTCCGCGAAGGAAGGTCACATCAAAAACACCATAGCGAGATACGTACGCGCATATGACAGATAAATCAGTCAACCCGCCGCGAGTACTTTGTCGTACAGTGATAGAGATGTGTTCTGCTTTGTCTGAATGTTGATGATTGGCTTTTTGTCGCGAATGTACACTGTTTCAAGTGTGACGAGCCGTCTACGATCCTGACAGTGTGCTAGGATGGATGTGTTGGTCACGAGATCGTCACGTGTGAGTGCGGTGTTGTGATGTTCTGTGTAGTGTTTCTTGGGGGCTCCGTCCTGCAGGTGCATTGTGAGACGTCTGCTCAGAGACGTTGTGGTGTGACCAATGTAGTATACTTCGCGGGTCGCGCAGTCCCCGGCTGTACATTTAAACTGGTATACTACATTGGTCTGCTTGAGTGTTGCCGTGCTGCGTGTGGGATTGTTTTGCATCACCAGTGAGGATGTCTTGGGGCTAGTGTAGTAGACCTGAACTACCAGTCGCTGTTGCCCATCCGTAGGTTGGCAGTTACGGCGAACAATACCGCGGATCACCTGCTCATCCGTCTTCCATGTTGGAGACATCGTGCTGCGGTAGTACACTTTTAGCTCGTCTTTCTTTGTCTTTGGCTCCTTGTTTGTCACATGGTTCTCAAGCATGTTTTTTACAGCGTCGTCAAACATGGAATTGCTGTACCCATTATCTACTAGGATCTTACGAACCCTCTCAAGTTCAGTGTGAAGTAGATCCCAAGTCGAGCAGTGTTTCATGGCCCGTCTAATGTACGCCCTTATGACACCTGATTTGTACGAGTCAGTGACGTCACCCTCCCCATTCATGCACCTGCCGAGGTCAGTTGGCTTCCGATACACATCTGTGACGAATTCACCACTGCTGCAATCAATCATGACGTCCAAAAATGGCAGCTTCTGTCCTACGCTATGGTCAACTGTGAAATTTAAAACTGATTCTTGGCCTAGTTTCATGCGCAGCAGGTCTAACTTTTCAGCATTTTCGACGTCAACAAAAATGTCATCTACATAACGATAGTACATGAACGGTTTGACATCATCACAGAGCAGCACTTTCCTTTCGACATAGGACATGTAGGCTTGGGCAAACAGAACGCCTAGTGGGGATCCCATTGCGACCCCGTCCACCTGTACATAGAGTTTGCCTTCAGGGCACCTGAACGGCGCCTCCGTTGTGCACGATAGCAGCAACTGCTCCAGGATGCGTTTGGGTAGTCTCGGTGGTGGAAGGGTCTCATGATTGTAGACATACTCAAGAATGATCTCAATAGTCTGCTGAACAGGTACATTAGTGAACAGACTCTCCACATCTAGAGAGGCTAGAGAACCTTTTGGTTTCTGGGACCTAAGAATGTCGACGAATTCATCGGTCGATTGAATTCGTCACAGATGTGTATCGGAAGCCAACTGACCTCGGCAGGTGCATGAATGGGGAGGGTGACGTCACTGACTCGTACAAATCAGGTGTCATAAGGGCGTACATTAGACGGGCCATGAAACACTGCTCGACTTGGGATCTACTTCACACTGAACTTGAGAGGGTTCGTAAGATCCTAGTAGATAATGGGTACAGCAATTCCATGTTTGACGACGCTGTAAAAAACATGCTTGAGAACCATGTGACAAACAAGGAGCCAAAGACAAAGAAAGACGAGCTAAAAGTGTACTACCGCAGCACGATGTCTCCAACATGGAAGACGGATGAGCAGGTGATCCGCGGTATTGTTCGCCGTAACTGCCAACCTACGGATGGGCAACAGCGACTGGTAGTTCAGGTCTACTACACTAGCCCCAAGACATCCTCACTGGTGATGCAAAACAATCCCACACGCAGCACGGCAACACTCAAGCAGACCAATGTAGTATACCAGTTTAAATGTACAGCCGGGGACTGCGCGACCCGCGAAGTATACTACATTGGTCACACCACAACGTCTCTGAGCAGACGTCTCACAATGCACCTGCAGGACGGAGCCCCCAAGAAACACTACACAGAACATCACAACACCGCACTCACACGTGACGATCTCGTGACCAACACATCCATCCTAGCACACTGTCAGGATCGTAGACGGCTCGTCACACTTGAAACAGTGTACATTCGCGACAAAAAGCCAATCATCAACATTCAGACAAAGCAGAACACATCTCTATCACTGTACGACAAAGTACTCGCGGCGGGTTGACTGATTTATCTGTCATATGCGCGTACGTATCTCGCTATGGTGTTTTTGATGTGACCTTCCTTCGCGGAGGATGAACGAATGTGTTTAGGGTTATAGCTCATGTACGAAAACAAAAGTGTGTTATTTTGTTTTGAATGCTGTGACTCATCGACTGAATAGTTTTAGTATCATATCCGTAATATCTGTTCCAAAAATGTAATTGAACCCATTTATCTCAAAGTATGACTTCTAAAACTGTGTGACTGTAATTTTCTTGAAAATGATCTCTGATAGATCGAAACGTCGAACAACAATATAGCTATGATATTTTGTATTTATGACATCTTTTGGTAATATTTTACATTCTCACGAACCCGAACCTCGACAGTGCATTCGCCGCCTCGAAAGTCTTAATAAGAAGAAGATAAGTGCCCATTATGCTGTTGTGTTTAACAAAACTTGCATAAAAGAGAACCTGCTTCCGAACTATTCGAAAACGCCATATTTGTAAACAGTCAGCCAGTGCTGACATTTCTCATCAGCCAAATGTATACAGTTCCGTCAGCCAGAAGCGGTGGGCGGAGCCTATTTCAGCTGACAACAGCACAACAGCTGAATGTGTACAGGCCTATATATTCAGTGGTAGCAGGACCCCGATAGATAATCTCGTGATTGTGATACCTAATTCAATATACCCTGATTGTGATATATTTTTCGAGTGCTTTTTTAT